TATCATCTTTTTTTTCAAAGACATGTCATCTTTTTTCAAGACATGTCATAATTTTAAACCAATCAAATTAAAATACCTAAAGAACTTAAATAATACTACTTGCCTTTTACTAGGAAGGGGATTTGTGAGATTTTTTTTCTGAGTTTCTCAACCAACGAAATGCTTTTATTTGCGTTGGTGGAACCAAATAGCCAGCTTAAACGATACCGTGTTATTGCTTCACGATACTGGGCTTTTAGTTTTAGTGAACCATTCATACAAAAGGCCTTTTGGGTATTTACTTTAGAAAGTAAAGGCCCAAAATAGAAAACGCTAAGAAATGACAGTATATATAGTCTCTTGAGAAAAACCCTAGACGCTTCTTCCTCAGCTGTCGCTCATACATATATATTTCACTCCGAGCTTCGACCTTCCAAGCTACCGGCGGCGAAAATGGTGAGACTTACTTTCTCCTTCAACAACGATCTTTGCTTGTTCGTCTGTGAAATACTTTATTATCTTCTGTTTTCACATGTCAATAGCACTTTACATTTCTGATTTCCTTCTCCTGTCTAGTTTTGTTAGATTAAGGTTTAGATTTCTTCAACTAAGTGACGTTTATGTATTTGAGATTGACCAGAGTGTTGAGATTTCCTGTTTTTTTTGGTGATTTGTTTTAGGTTTTCAAGAGGTACGTTGAGATTGGGAGAGTGGCACTTGTGAACTACGGCGAGGATCATGGGAAACTCGTTGTTATCGTCGACGTCGTTGACCAGAACAGAGTAAGTTTGTTTTATTCATATATATATATATCGATGGATTTTAACTATTTCAATCCCAGATTCTGTAAATTTTCTTTGTTTGTTTCTGTATATTGTTTGATCAAGAAAATTTTGGATTATAATGGAGACTAGCTGCAAATCTGGTTATAGGTTCATCTTTTACGGAAAATAGTGTGTAGATAAGTAGGTGATTGGAGCCAATTTGTTTTCTGATTCAAATGAAAAAGCCATTGCCTTTCTATAGTGATTCTTGAGCCTAATGTATTGAGAAGCAGATCTGATTTGGTGCTACTTGAGCTTATTATATGTACTAATTTTATTGTGATTCCTGGTTTCACAAGGCTTAATTTGTCTAGATGTTCTTAGAGAATCCTGTCTATGTTCTTTTAATTTAGGCTTTGGTGGATGCCCCTGATATGGAGAGGATCCAGATGAATTTCAAGAGGCTGTCTCTTACTGATATCGTGATTGATATCAACCGAGTGCCAAAGAAGAAGGCTTTAATCGAGGCAATGGAAAAGGCTGGTGAGTGTTGTGCATTGAGTTATTGTAACTTGTTAAGGGTTCCAATCTAAACGGGAATGTTTTCGCAGATGTGAAGAACAAGTGGGAGAAAAGCTCCTGGGGTAGGAAGCTCATCGTGCAGAAGCGTAGGGCTAACCTCAATGATTTTGATAGGTTCAAGATCATGTTGGCCAAAATCAAGGTCAGTGTGTTAAATTGTCAGGCTTTAAAAATTCTATGATCATGCTTGCGTATGTTAAAATGCGGAAATGGTAATTGATTGTTTGGGTGTTTGCAGAGGGCTGGTGTTGTGAGGCAAGAGCTTGCAAAACTCAAGAAGGAGACTACTGCCTGATCAAATTGATTTTATCTGCAAATCTG